CACCACAAAACAATTTATTCACTGCTTGGTTATATATCACCTCGACTACTGCAACTCTCTTCTCACTGGCCTACCTTTACACAGGCTATCACCCCTTCAGTCTATTATGAATGCTGCTGCCAGGCTTACACGCATTACTAACCGGTCCGTGACTGCTGCCCCTCTCTGCTAATCTCTTCACTGGCTTCTAATAGCCCAACATATAAAATTCAAAATACTATCTACAACGTACAAAGCCATTCACAACATTGTCCCCAGCTATATCACCAACCTCATCTGCATATATCACCCAAATCATCTTCTCCACTCCTCTCAAGACATCTGGCTCTCTAGCTCCGTTGTTACCTCCTCCCATGCTCGCCTCCAGAACTTTTACAGAACCTCTTCCATCCTCTGGAACTCCATACCCCAGTATGTCCGGTCAGCTCCTACCCTGTCCGCCTTTAGGCGAACCTTGAAAACTCATTTATTCAGGGAAGCCTACCCCACCTCCACCTAGAAAACCATACTTGAGTCACCTCCATCAGATCATCCCCTGCAGCTATTACCTCTTGTTGCAATCTCCCCCTCCCTTTAGATTGTAAGCTCCATGAGCAGGGCCCTCCTATTCCTTCTGTATTGAACTGTGTTGTAATTGTACTGTCCCCCTTTATATTGTAAAGCACCGTGCAAACTGTTGGTGCTATAATAAATCCTGTCTAATCATATTTTTTTCCTTACAGGATATGTCAGGACAAACAAAGACAAACACAGTACATTTCTGCAATACATGCACATTTCTCCATACTTTATCCCTTTAAAGACTCTACATGTAAAAAAAAAATACAATTGACCTGCTAGAAAAACACTTGAATACCTAAGCCCTGCTGTGGGCTGACAACACACAGCATTTTTTTTGGACTGACTGGTGTCAGTCCTGCCCAGATTTCTTTTGTTAAACTATGTAAACTCTCCCACTCTCCCCCCTCCACAACACAGAGAGTAATCATCCTGTACTCAGAGCTAGAGGGGTCATTCCCTTTGAGACAACAGAGAACATGATCACAGGGCACAGGATAGCTCAGAATTCCTGACATAACCAGCAGGTGTTGTTTTTGTACTTATCAAACATATATAACAAAACCCTTTCAATGGTGTTTTTACCATACCAAATGGCAGTAAACGAAAAGATTATTTTTAGGGTTTACATACACGTTAATTTCAGTTTCACTGACAGAACCCCCAACATTTTGGCTCAGCCGCCTCCCCATATATTTTTTATTCTTAGCTTTTTTCAATCACATAATGTGTAGGACCCCAAGTATGAACATATGACAGGAACCATGTTTGGGTTTCGTACCAGTCTCTGTACAGCATATATTTTTTCTCACTAATAGTTAAACGGTTGTGTTTTCCTGTAACCAAACAGGTTTTTTTGCTATGAATGAGACAGCTCAGTGTTATTTTATGTTAGTTTGCTTTCCTTGTCCTTTCTTTGTAAAGGGTTTTCACCTGTTTTGTGTTTGACATAATTGCTTTCACTCATAATATAGAACCCTCAATGAACACTTAGAATTTTAATCTGTAGTACTGACACAAGTTTTGTTTAGTTTACATGTTTTACTGCTTTTACCTTAAAAAATAGGACACTGCAAAGATTTAGAAAGTGGAAGTAAGAATAAATACTAATCTAACAATAATGTTTTCATGGCGACCCTGTGGTCAACAAGTTCTACAGTGACTTCCACGGGTCAAGTACTGGCATGCAAAGACCTGATAGGCAGTCCAACAGCCAACTAAAAGGATCATTTGCTGCTTTCTGCGGTACCATTAATGCCAAGATTCTGTGGTGGGTGATATTCTCAGATTTGGCAAGCCTGACTACATTTGTTATTGCATGCACTAAAGACATGTGGAACACCAGATCTGGCCACTTTTTGAAATTTTCAGAGAAACATTACGTGCAGAACCAGGGCTTTTTTGTCTCACTAGAGGTGGTGGTACTCTCTTGACCTGCCTCTTAAGCACCGCACAACATTGCCTCCACAGCCCAGTGAGCGCGGGAGCTAAAGTATATATAAAGCCAAAACGTCTTTTTTTTACATTAAATTGGCACTGCCTCGATACTGCGGTGCCGCCGGCAACCTATCCAAACTCAAGGGATGTAGCCCTATGTTGTTTTTTTTTTTTTTTAAAGATACCTCCTCATTGCTTGTGTCTCCATTTTCAGGCCTATTTGCACTGCCATTAAACTATGTTGCCACTGGACAATTTTTAGCAACCCAGACCGAAGGACTATATCCATATATGAAGGTTTTTTAGGAAGACAGATCTCTGTGTCATGTATCTGAGCATTTAGGCCTGTTGTCAGTGATGTCAAACTATGGCTGCTTTGCCAATTTGTACCTAAACTAAAAGAGCTATAGCGTTTTAGAAAAATTGGAGATATAGGGATAGGAGGTTCAGGGAATAGAAACAGAGAAAGACCAAGTGGTCCATTGAGTCTACCTGTTTTTGTTCCATATATACAGTAAATGTTTTTTATTTTTTGCATTTTATGGGTTTTTCTTGTTAATTTTTTTTGTCTGAGTATTCCAAGCATCAACTACCCATTCAGTAAAATAATATTTTCTAAGATTAGTTTTGAACATTCCAGCAGTTAGTTCATGTCCCCTTGTCCTTGATCTTGGTTTAATATTGAAAATACTTCCCTCCTGAACTTTATTCACCCCCTTGATGTATTGAAAGTTTTATTCATGTTTCCCCTTTCCTTTCTTTCCTCCAAACTGTATATATTAAGTACCTGACTTCGCTCTTAATACGCTTTATCCCTTTAGACTTTTCACCATTTTTATTACCCATCTCTAGACCTATTATCTTATCAATATCTTTTTGTAAGTGAGGTCTTCAGAACTGGACACAGTATTCTAAATGAGGTATAAGGAAAGATCTATATAGGGAAATCAGGACCTCCTTCCTCCTACTGGTGGCTCCTCTAATAATGTATCCTAGAACGTGGGATGATGGTGTGAAGTGTCTTTGTACACATTCTTTTTTCATTTTTTCAATTAAAATTCAATGAAAAAAAAACAGATCATGAATTAATGAACAGCAACAAGTGACTGTTGCAATCTAATCACCAGAAACTAACACAAAATACTATAACCACAAAATAAACCAAAGATCCCCAAAAAATACACAAGCACTAACAGCCTAACAGAAAAGCCTACTAAGGGACTGCTGCCTCAAAACCACTGCAAACCAGGAGCAGACTGACCATTCGAACACTCGGGCAGTGCCAGAGAGTTTGGGGTCAGTAGAGGGCCTCATAAAACTGCCCCTGGTACATTTTATAGGCTTTTTTGGGTGTGCTTTGAGTGTTGGAAAGGACACAGGGGCTCCATGATCCCCTGTTGCCCGGGGGCCCCATGAGTTGTCAGTCCGCCTCTGCTCCAAACTGAAATAAATTGTAAAATAGTAAAATATCCAAATTAAATGAAAAAATAACAGCAGCTAGGGGGTTAACAGTTGCAAAGACTGCACTCAGTCAGTTGGTGGTTGACCAATATTTGTCCTTAAAAAGACTATTGTGTTCCATAAAGTTCTGTGAATGCAGAATAGCATAAAAAATAGTGTACCCAATCACCGCCATACACAGAATTCAAGTATAGTTCACTAAGTCATCTAATCTATCCCTATTGAATGAACTTTCCATGTCCTGTAAATATTACCAGGTCCAAGACACTGACACTATGGCTGCGTTCAAACCCCAGAGCAGGGGCGGACTGACCATTTGGAAACTCGGGCACTGCCCGAGGGCCTGGGGTCAGTAGGGGGCCCCATGAGATTCCCCTGGTACCTTTTTCATAGGCTTTTTTGAGTTTGGGCAAGGATACAGGGGCCCCATGATCCCCTATTGCCCGGGGGACCCATGAGTTGTCAGTCCGCCCCTGCCCCAGAGTTTTAGAGTGTTTAGCAACCATTTTGCTCTTATACAATTTCTAATATATAACTCTTTCTTCAAAATGAGCATGTATTTAATGCCAAGAACACTCTGTCTTCTGCAAGGCAGATATAAAAAATTCCAAGTTGGTTCTTTGACAAATGCAATAATATAAAACATAAATAGAAATAATACAGGCCCTCAGTGTGCCAAGATAAGTCTTTAAATAATTCTAAACCCACATTACTAGGGAAAACAGCATCAGCACTGTAATCAATCAGAATATTTTCTTAGTATCCCCATGCAAAAAAAGCAAATTGGATGGAGGGCACAACTATACACTATTAGTGGAAATGAATTAAATTTTCACAAATACTGATGTAGTTTTCGTTTTATAAAACTGCTAAACCAATCTGAGTATTCGGCTACAGTCACTTTCTTATAATAATAAGGATAATAATAATAATTATTAGTTCATGTTATCATTTATCTGTGCAGATTACTTCAATTATTAAAAAAATATGTATGTACATTTGTAAAAAAAACAAAGCAATCCCATAAACGTTTTCAGGGGTCAGCCTTTTTACTCTATACAGCGCTGTTTCATGAGGTCCATTAGGCTCTCCTTTGGGGAATTTCAGCATGTTACTCAGCAAAGCGTCTGGGGCCCTGTTTTGGGGCACAGCGGGGGGGGGATTGGAGCCACAAGTTCATAGAGTTATCACAAGCTGTTGTAGCTCAGTGCACAGTATAGTGCAGATTCACACATTTACAAGGTGATAACCACATTAATACTCATGAAGCCTTTTTTTTTGTCTTCTACTATACCTCCTGGTGCTGTATGTAGACTGATAAGAACTGAATGTTTCATTTTACTACAATATATGCTTGTTACAATTATAAATACAGGTGACAACTCATATACGGGAAATAGCTTACAATTGTTTCCATACATTTTTGTCAAACATTAGTGGTACTAAACCCACAACAGTAAAATCGGTCTGTATATGCAGTGATGCATGCTTGTCATACTCAATGTGGAACCTATGGAGTTAATCCTCTGCATTGTGTAAAAATTATGTTTGATTCTGTCTTCTCTGATCCTCACCTTCTTCCAGTGTCCCCCTTTTATCTCCTGATAAGACATATCGTGTGGAAACACTCTGCACATGCTCAGTTTGGTGTGTATTGCTATTGTATAGGTTTTTTTTTCTTGGTAGAGTGCATGTGATCAGCACAGGGCCAATCAGCACTGTCCTGACAGAGGTCAGGGGTTCTGCATCCTCCTAGAGCAAAAAGAAAACTCCTCCTACAAGCTTTAGCTAGAGCTCAGCTGGACACTGATAGAAGTCACAAGACTGCTCTGCTGATGAGAAAACATATTTAGCAGTTTATATTTACTAAAATAATTGCACTTCCATGTTCCGTGTACTGTGGGAGACCAGATATAATGAATGCAGGGTCCTGGATTTAATAACACTTTAAAGCTTTTTTTTGCATTTGTAGCCACATCAGAGATATTTGCTATGCTGCCTGTTGTGTAGATGTGCAGCAGAACTGCTTCACATTGCAATTTCAGACTAACCAAACAGGACCTCTGCAATTTACCTCTATGGAATAGCTTCAGAAAGGAGGGGCACATGTGACATCCTGAAGGAAGGATGTGACATCAGAGGGTGAAATGTTCTGCATCATAGCCTAGGAGGAAAATCATTGAGAATTCCCTGGAAGAGTGTAGCTGAGAGAAATGTCAGGCAGGCATCCTGATGGATTGTTTTGGAATTCCTGTTGTTAAAGCAAAACTAAAGGCACCCAATACTCACTTCCTCTATAATGGTTCGGGTCCCTTGCCAATGCCTGCATCTTCTCCCTGGGCACTGGTCTTCAGGGATCTTCATTTCGCCGGCGCAGATTGCTGTAACTTCTGTGCATGCACAAAGATAGTCATCATGACACCAGGGCTGCTAATAAGGCAGTACAGTCGGGGAGACCCAGGGGGGGGGGGGCTCCGGCACCTGCTGAGTGTACTGCCTTATTGTTGACACTTTTGACTCTTGTGGATCCCTCTACAGCGCTGCTAGGTGCTATTCCTCTTTCTCTCTCTGGCTGTGCTGCAGGGGAAATGGTTCTTGGATCTGCATACCCTTACATCTGTCAGGACCCCTTGTGTGCCCCCCATCACCCACAGTGCTGCCAGCTTCTCTACTCTACTTTCCCCCTGGCAGCTGCTGCAAGCACACAGGGAGATTTTATTAGGATGGGGTGGGGCAGTAAATATGTCATATTTACCACCCCCTTCCTTTCTTGAATGAACACAGTGAGAGATCCATGCCAATCGCTTCTGTGTACATTCATCACTGAAGCACAGTAAACTGTGTTTACTGTGCTTCAGTTTATGAATGAACAGTAAGTCTCAGAGTGCTTCCCATTCATTCACTGTTCAGTGCTGTTGAGGCTGCAGAAAAGGTAAAAATCAGATAAATAATATTATTGTGGTGCCTGGTGTCTATGTATGAAACAATAGTGTTATGCCCGCAATACGCCGGCTATGTGAATTAACAGCTTCCTCTAAAAAGTGAAAAATACTTAAACATATACAAACATGAAAAGGTAGGCGCTGTGCATCCATATTATATTATTATACAGTATTTATATACAGTATTTAGACAAAAATATCAAAGCAAAACATCTCTGCATTTTCTAGCAGGCAATAATTATAAACAAAATGTGATAATAGATACTCCCAATAACATCTGACCAATAATATACATTTAACAATAATAAACGTGATAAAAATGATCACAAATTGTGTAGTGACAGTCCCTTAAAGGTACATTGCTGTGGATCAAAACTTTGTGCGCTTTTCGCAGATGAAGTAAGTAAATTTCTCACTCAGCAGAAATATTTGACCCCAATTAAGGTGGTCAAATACCGCATTATTATAGTAGGAATGGAAGATCCACTACTGGCTCTCCTAGGATATCCCTCCAGGTCATCAGCACGTCGTAGATACTGGCCCCAGATGGGTAATCACAAGATTCCAGAATCAGATATAGCAGTAGTAAATGGGCTTTCCTTAACAATGAAGTGATGCTCCAAGCAGCTCAAATAAATCAGATGAGTTTTAGGCATTCTAAGTGTAGCATTTATTGAATTTAACACAACACATAAACATGAGGCTTATACACTCACATGTGGAGGTGCCCTAATAAGCGGCACCAGTCTGTATAGCCTGTGTGTTCCAAAAATGGCAGTCGTGCATTCCAAGCCTCACATTTGCTGGGCCAGATGTGACATCATGGAAACCTGGAAGTGACGGGATCATTCTTCTACATACGTTTCGCCTGGTAGCGTCTTCAGGAAGTGACATACCGCCATTACTGGGATATTTATATACAGGCAAACCCATGCTAATTGGATAACTCCAGAAGCATGGCAAAAAACCTTATAGCTCCGGGAACATGGCTGACATGTCATTGATATATACATATATCAGGCTATACATTCTGCTGTGGTGTAAACAGTACTGGGGACCTTTTATCATGGGTGTAAACGGAATTAATGCACAAAATAACAACAGATGATTTATTTTTACTTTAGAATCAAATCAAAAAAATATAAAAAATTTTAAAAAATTATAAAAAATATATGAATATAGGAAATATATATATATATATATATATATATATATTTAGAAATAAATACAGAGCCAAGATAGGTCTTTACCTAGAGGGTGTGGAATGTTATAAACTAAATGAATCAGAGGACACTCAAAGGAATGAAAACTGAATGGGGTAAAACAAATAAATAAAAATGAGAGTGTGTATATTAAATATAGGTATTAAATGGGGTCAGAAACTGAGAATTTAGGGGCATAATAAAAGAATAAATAAATTGATATATTAAATTAAAATAAATCAATTGATTAGGTATAAATTTGTATTACATTACCCCAATTGGGGTTGGATAACTATAAATCAAAATACATAAATTAGGATGAGTATTAAACCCTAAGTATGGGTCTAAGTAGTATTTCATGCATGTGTATATCAACACATGTAAAAAAAATGCTACTACAATCAAATAGCCTTTTGCAACTATTGATGCAGGTATGTAATTTGAATAAATACTATGTAGGTGTACTATCCCTCAACATTCAGGTACATGTAGGTAAATAATACCATTTCAACAAATTGAAACCATGTGGTTGTATATATCCATGAGATCTAATATGGTAAACTATCATAGGAATGGAAAACCATACCCTTGGTAAGGATAGAATGACTGGTCATTTAATGGTGGGAACATGGCTCACTAGGTTAAAGTATCCATAGGAATATTTTGACTCACTTGCGAGGGTCCCAAATAACCGGAATGTTACCCATGTCATCTGATTCTCTCCTATTCTTTCCCAATGTGAAGGGGAAGTCCCTAATAATAAGTAAGGAAACAATTGAGGTCTATATCTCGGTTTAGACATTTGGATCCAGTGTTTGCAATGTATGGATCGACTGGGTTTCCATCTGTGAGACTTTTATGGTCATATTAGTACCTGTTCTGTCTCTCCAATCTAAGCATTGAAAGTGTGATCTCTGTAACTTACAGTTGTGATAAGATAGCGATAACTCCAATCTAAGTTGAATATCACAGGCAGTGATTCAATACAGAAGACATCTTGTAGATCTTATGAAATTTATTCCATAAACTGAGAAAATCTTACAACAATGAACATCTGATAGGTCAAAAGATCATAGTGTGACCAGCTTCATGACATGAGGCTAGAAGCTGCAATGTCTTACTGGGAAAGGGGGTGGGCTATCTATACAGCATTAACTAAACCAAAGGAAAGGGTGGAGCAGAGACAAATTACAGAGAAAACTTAAAGGCATATGACAGTCATGTGAAACATGACAGCACCCTTTCAGTGTTTGCAGACTTTATCTATTCCCCAAAACTGTAAAAGCCTGGGGTCTTTATTGTATTTCAACCAGAAATGATTAGAGACACTACGTTGTTTGTAACCATTCTTGATATTTGTGATATGTTCCCCTATGCATGTGGACAATTTCCTTGTGGTTCTACCAACTTATTGCAATTTACATGAGCATGTGAGTAAATAGGTGATGTATCTTGAATCACATGTAATAAGCTTTTTGATAGCGTACTTTTCTCCTGTTACATGTGATATGAAACTGTTAATCCTCTTACTCCTGTCTTTTATAGTCCTGCATGCTTTACATCTCCCACATTTATAGGAACCTGTAGCATCCAGGAATGTAGGGGGCCTTCTATGAGGTTCTACCACATTCTTGGAGATAATATGCCTCAGACTCAAAGCCTTTTTGTAAATACATGTAGGCTTTTGGGGTAGGATCTGTTTCCAAGTTTGATCCCTCAATAGGATGGCCAATTTCTACCGATGATTTTTTCTAATTCCTAATACTATAGATTAAAGCCTGTGATAAATGCCAAGTCTGCTCTTGAACTTTTCTTAGGCTTGGGTACCAGTAATGCGTCCCAATTCATATTTATAACTTGATCTCTTGTTCTTTCTAACTCTACTTTTTTATATCCTTTCTCCAGAAATATTTCTATTAATTTCTCTGATTGCTCTTCAAAATCTTCCCTGCTTCCACAATTTCCCCTTATCCTCATGAGTCGACCTTTGGGGATTGCTCTCAGCCATTTCGGGTGATGACAACTTCTTTTGGAGATTATCCCATTTCTGTCAGTGTCTTTAAAATAAGTTCTGGTATCTAAACTTTTGACGCTAATAAAAATTTCCAAATCTAGGAACTGGATAACCTCCCTTTGTATGTTGTTTGTGAATTTAATACCATAAACATTGGCATTCATATAACCTAGAAAGGTCTCCAGTTCCTGCAATCCCCCCTCCCAGATGATAAATATATCATCAATGTACCTCCTGTATATTTTTATTTGGGGTGTATCTCTATGGAAAATTTCCTCTTTCTCCCATTTGTTAAGGAAGATGTTAGCGACACTCGGGGCATACCTAGCTCCCATAGCTACTCCCTTAATTTGGTTAAATAATTCTCCATTATACCAGAAGTAGTTGTTTGCCATAGCCATCTCTAACACCTCTAGTATAAATTCTTTCTGAGGGGGTGCTATGTTGGAATATTTATGGAGTGCCCATTTAGTGCCTTCAAGGGCATCCAATTGTTTTATATTTGTATACAGGGATACCACATCCACTGTAACCAACTGGGTTTGTTTTGTTATAGCAATTTAATAGGTTAATGAGATCCCTGCTGTCCTTAAGGTAAGCCTTGCCTCTCCAGCCATGGGCTGGAGGAAGTAATACATGTATTCTCCCATTCTGAAATACAGTGAGTTGATGCCACTATTTATGGGTCTTCCTGGTGGGTCTGTTAAAGTTT